AGTTTGTAGAAATTATTGTATTGAAACTTTTCCTATTCTCTTTATTTTACAATCAGGTTGAAATTTTCAGTGTTGTTTTTAAATTCATAACATATTATTCCTCCTTTGTTGGATCATACTGAGGGTATCAGGAAGCTGCGCAGGACTGAAGACTGTTTTCGTGTACTGAGAGTTGCGAAAGATTGATTCCAGTACTGCTGTTATATTTTGCAAAAGTTTTCCTGTGAATTAGAACCGCCTAAATTATTACGATTCTTACTTGAGCTGGATTTTGCCGAGTATCATGGCCGTCATTTTGCACGATATTTTACTAGCAATAATGTAAAAGATGAGCTATATTCGGTCACTGAAAAAGACAAGTAAATAGTGATGATAAATGGTGTATTAGGTTGTAGGTCAGGGGTAAATTTCCGCCGGTGGGACATCAGTTCGTTCGTTCATTCATTATGGGTAACAGTTGAGGCACCGGCGTATGCTGAGAAGTTAAATCCGCCACGGGTTTGATTCTAAGCTGTCCTTGAATGAGTGAATTATGGGCAGTTTTAGTAGCGGATAGTCGCTGTTAATATTTGCTATCAGTCGGGCTGTTGAGTGAGCTGCGTTTCATCTAGAATGAGTGCGGTTGGAGGTTTGTCTTTTGAGTGATAGGAGAATCTTGATAAGGCATTGGTTGTAAGGGTGCTGGAAGCTTGATTTGTGATTTTTTGCAGGAATATAACTGCAACGGGACAACGGTCGACCATCCAGAATACGGTGAGGTAATTCAGCTCACCGGAGACCAGAGGCAACACATCAAGGATTTCCTGTGTCGTGTAGGCATCGTCAAAGAAGAAAACTGCAAAATTCATGGCTTCTAATTTGGATACTGCTCTGTGGTGCGCACTACGATTCGCCTTTGCTGCCCACCCTGTAATCAGAAATATAAAAATTTTTGATTTTCCAAAATGAAAGTGATTGGATTTGCTTTGCTGAATGATTGTACTACAAGTGCCCCACTGTATGTATGATTGTGTCCTGGAAGAGATATGTCAGTATAAAATTTCGAATTATGTGAATACTGGTGAAAGCAATGCAGTGATAGTAGCAGTAATTTAGCCAAAAATTTCGGAGATAAATTTCAAGTTCTGAGAGATTTGTTGATAAGAAGGGAGGAGGAAAAAACAGTGGATAGAGTGAAGAGGACAAGAGGGAAAGGGACTTGCAGACGCGGCTTCCGTATTCGTTCCTGGTTTCTGAAATCAATACCATAAGAATTAATAAAGTCGAATGTATTGTGTGGTATTGGAGCAGGCGAAGAGTTCAGGATCCGGCACATTAAAAGTCGTTGCTGAGGCGGAGATACGACTACTCTGGAATAAAAGGATATGTAAAGGCCGGGGTTTTGTGGCTCTGATCTCAAATCTGCACTTTATTTAGACGCAGGGCGGTGAATGCTGCTTATCTTAGCGACAACCGGTAGAAGTTGCAACTTTTCAGGCGATTCCTGGAGGAATAACCCATCTAGGCTGTACAGGTAATAGTGTACCGGCGAGAGGTATGCAGCCAAAGACCGAGGACAGCTGCGTCCGCCATGTTGCAGCATCCCAGAAACATCATTAACTTGGAGTGTTCACAGTGCTCGTCCGGGCGATCTGGTATTCTTGGTATGATATAACAGTTTCAGTCCACTTGTGAATTGCTAGTCCCCGGCATAGTGCAGTGCAGTGAGTGATCCTGGACTTTCAGTGACTTCGCATTCATATTTTGCAACGAGCGCGGTGGCTGCCGCTTTAGGAATGCACTCCTTTCCGCCCACTCCCAGGACCCTTCAACCTTGGGCAATAAAAATAACCGGAATTTGATTTTGGTATCGCGGCAAGCAGCAGAAGTAGTGTTACGGTTGTGGGCAGCCGTGCGCCGCGCTGTTCCACTGCTCTGGTGCTACGGTCAATCGGCTTAATATATCATAACACGCATAGTACAACGCTTTATCAGACCTAACTCTTCGTGTGCTTCCCCCCCGGCCCCCTCTTATCAAAGCACCCTCCCTCCTGCATGATTGATACATTCCTTATCACTACTGATTGAACCCTGCTGAACAACCAGCCATCTCGTCGTCCACATTCCAATCACCTGCTGCACTTCGCATTCCATAATTTAACCAATCATTATTAAACTGATCAACGGCTAACGATTACACCAAGGAATGAGACCAAAAGCACAGGTTATGCGTATTTTTTTACTGATAATATCGAAAAATAATGGTATATTTGGGAAATGTTATGATGAAAGGGGGAATGACGAAAAAATAATAATAAAACAATAGAAAGTATGATAATAATAACGAAAATCATTAATAAATATTAAAGTAAAAGGGGAACTATCATAGTGGAAAGTAAAGAAAGATAAAGGGGTGTTAAAATTGAAAAGGAGGAATTTGCTGTGCAAACAGCAATCTTGTTCCGGCTTCAAGGTGCAGACTGAAAATCATGCTTTGACTTCAGAAAAATTGCATATTCGAGCTAATCATTGCTATTTCCTCTTTGTTCCACTGCTAAGAAGGCCCTGTGGTCTCCCGTTTTCACTTTATTGTTGAAGTCATCTTCTGGTTGCCTGGTCACTGGGTTATTGCTGTAGTAAATCGGGTGTCTCTTCCTGCGCGATGTCTCCGAACATTTTCGACTGCCTCAGTCTTCCACAGAGACTGGATAATGAGCTGGCTTTAGCCTTGATTTTTGAGCTCTTTTTCAAAGAATAAAAGCGGAAGCTGCATTCCTTCGAAAAGAGTATGGTACTTTGCAGGATATGAAGAGGTCGTGCAAATTAGAGCTGCAGAAGGAGTTCGGTCTACAGGACTGCAGTTATAACTGGCGACATACGAAACGAAAGTGTTTCACAGATCTTCACAGAATGCCACAAAATTTGTATCCCGAAATTACTGTTCATCCTGCTTTGCAGGTACCCAAATAACTGGTTTCTGTGGTTCTGCTTTCCTCTTACTGCCCTTTTCCTGCGTAGCTGCCAGCTGTGCTTCTCCTTTTAAAGTTGTACAACAAGCAATAATTGGGCAAGGAGGGGGGATGTTGCTTTGATAATAAGTATTTTTTTCATAGTTGCATATTTAATAAAAAAATCGAACTGAAAAAAATGAGCAGGAACAAACTTTTGCTTAAAAGGGCTCAAAATTTCTGGGAATAAAGCATTTAGACAAAAAGCAAGGCGACAAATAACGCTGCAAAATGAAAAAATCAATCAACCAGGCGAAAGGAAACTGCGAGGCTTTCGAAAAAGAAAAGTTATTGTGTTTGATCACGGAGGATGGGTTTAACTGCCCTTATCTCCTTCATTCTGAAATCACTTTTTTCGAGATTTCCAAGACAGCCTGGTGTTGGTCAGGGATGTTACTGAGAGAGACAGCTATGCCAGACGAAGGTTCATTCCTGGATTTCATACTTCCGGTTAGCATCCACGGCCTATTCAATTTATACGTACCACTATTCCCTCGAAAGCACACATATTTGAAATTTTGACTTTTCCCATGTATTTCCCTTAATAAATGGGATTTCAGTGTTTTTTGGCAACTGTATGTGACTTGAAGGTGAATCCTGGAGAGCGCTCACGTCTCGGACTTCGCTATGCTAAAACACCCGGTACTAGTTAATTCTCTTTTATGTTATCAAAACTGGTATGTATATAGAAATGCATGTGTACATTTATGTGTGTATGTGTGCATGTGTACATTTATGTGTGTATGTGTGCATGTGTATGTATGTATGTATGTATGTATGTATGTATGTATGTATGTATGTGTGTATGTGGATGTGTATATGCACGCAGTTTTGGGTATATAGTAATCATAAAGTCAAACTACCATATTTCATACAAATTGCGATGTCACAAGAGGTGCTAACAAAATAAAAACAGGAGTAAGATGGAAACAGTAGTAACTGAAACAGTTTGGATTTCAACCTATAAAATGCCGATTCTGCCAAGTTGTTCCTGTAACAGTGTGGTAAATATTGCAGAAGTACAGCGTCTCGTGGCAAAGTTGGAAAGAAAACAATACGTCACCAGTGAATTGTGCAGTGTAGATCCGAATGCAATTATCAGCACCATGAAGGTCCACTTTAGTTTATGATTTTGATAAATTATTTATCAATGTGAAAAAGTGCTTCTATTGGTGCTGGTGCTACAGGAAATTCTGGATATGTTTCCCAGTGGTATATTCAATGACCAGTGCGAGGAATTCATTTGTGTACCACCAGAAGCACCTCTGGAAACTGCTCTCTCTTTTGTTAACGGGTCAGTTCAAAAATATTTAATTCACAAGCCGCTGCGCCAAAAGTGTTTGGCGATAGGGGTATTGTAATCATCTATAATTTTTTTTTCACGGCTGTTTCTTTATCATACCAGAGGTCCACTTCATTAAATTCATTGATGCAGAACTTAATCAGAAGCTTTTTGTTTTTTGAAAAAAATATAGGACCTATAGGTCGAGAAGACAGCAAAAGAAAAAAGATGCTAGTTGACTCAACTTTTTTTACGTGATCGGAGACCATGCTTCCAGAATTCCAGCTTTCTAGCTTTCATAATGCTAAAGTTATTTTTCGCCTTCAGACAGAAGGATACAGGGACGAACATGCGAGCTCGATTTTGTCATACTGAGTTTGTTTAAAATTAAAAATTTTGCGAAATGCACAGAAAATTAGCTGCAACAGTGGTATCAAAAAAAAATTTATCTGTATCAGCGGTATCAAAAAACGAAATGCATCAACAGTTTGCCTACCGTTTTGTTGAATAAAAATTATTTATTATTTATGATTGTTTGTTTTGTCCTGTCGGAGCCATTGTGTTAAAGGAATTTGTTATAAATTCGCGTTTTATTGTACTATTTCTTCTGAATTTTAAAAACGGAACTCGTTTTTAGCCAAAGGGTTGCTTTTTCCAAAAGGCAGTAAAATAAGAGGAGGTGGAAGAAATAAGATATTAAATGACTTTGACCGAGGTGAAAATAAAGAGGCAGTTTATCACTGCCGCTGATATCTTCCTCCAGGAACAGTGCACTAAATTATCCATCGACTAGAGTTTATAAACACACCCAAACAAGTGTGCTGACATGGCCAAAAAGCACGCTCCTGTTTTTTCTGAAGTTGCAAGTTAAATTTCTGGATCATTAAGTAGTGGCCTGTTACATATTTCGAAAAAATGGCTGCAAATTCTCCCCGTCCCGGCCTTTTGGCGAGATGGACAAGAGTGCTTTGGATGAATTTTTCAAACCCTTTGCGACCAGTGGAAAAGACAAAAAATAGCCTTCTTTTCAGCCTCTCCCCCCTCTCCTCCGCCCCTCATCTCTTTGGTTTTTTTAATAAAAATCGGCATTTGTTCCGTTCTTGTCAGTAACTACATTTTGGATCCATCTGTACACTAAATGCGCTTAGGCTGATCGCAGAACTGCCGCATTTTATGCGACAATTTATATACTTGATCTGTCGATCGCTCCGAAATTTGATCCATCAGTGTGATGGTTGTATCACAGACGCATATACTGGTAAGAATCAGATGACTAAATTATAACTTATGAAGCAAAAAAGTTTGAGTGGCATGAATGTCGGCC